TTTTTTTTTTTTTTTTTTATCGTATAAATGTTGCATACTAAATAACTTATCAACTATAATTTAGTTTTTGGTTCAAATGTTCAATATATTGAGGACGTCCTCTCTTTCAATGACGTTGAAAGCTTATAAAAATATAAAATAAACAATTTAAAGTTTCAAACATGTAGATGTGATAAATTTAAAGTACATATATAGGCATTTCTCTTTCTATTTAATACTAAAAATCAACAAATATAAATTCACAAAGCAACAATGATTATAATAATAATAATACTTCGTACAACACTCGTATATTTTTGTTAAAAAAATTATTCTTAATTTAAAATTAATGAGAAAAAATATTTTAATTTATATTTACTTTTATACAAAAAATGCATATTATTATATTATTTAAAATGATAGTTGTTACTTGTTCGACTTACATGTGTTGTATTATAATAATAGTTATATAAATATTTTAATTGTTAAATAATATAGTTTTCTAATTAATATTAAAAAAATATTAGAAAGATAAATACAACCAATATTTTTTATACATACAATATGGATGTTAAATCGAAACTTATCAAGAGATGATTAATTTGATATATTATATATGTAAAACTGATAAAAAATATAAAAGTTATTAACTTTTAAAATATATTTACAATTCAATGGTTATAATAAATAATAAATGATACTAAAGTGTTAATACATGTAAGATGTAACACGACCGTAAATAATCAACATATTTATGAACAATCCAATATAATTATCTTTGAATTGCAAGTAAATTAAAATTTACCTACGGCTAGTAACGAAATATGCAATTTTGGCACATACAATTCAAAATTATGCGAGCCTGCCACTCATCACGTTGTGAATTAAAGAATTAATATATGAGGTTATATCAAAAAAGCTGTGCATTAATAGTGCGAGTTAAGCTATATGAACTTTGTCAACCAATGGACATGATTTGGTTCACACAAAATAATGATTACTGAAAATTATATACTCCCTCCTGTTTATACACAAAAAAATGATTACTGAAAATTATATACTCTCTCCTATTTATAACAAGTGTCGTTTTGAGAAGTTGCACAATTATTAAGAATATTTTTTTTTGTCAATAATAACCTTCATTAATAAAGATAGAGATAAATATTTTGACAAAAGATAAAGAGTAAATATGAAAAGAACGCAGTGCATTTATTAGCTAGGTGAGGGTAATAATGGAAAAATATGTATAAAATATCCAAAACGATATTTATTTTGTTAATAGTTGACAATGTTAAAATGACATTTAAAAAAAATAGGAGGTAGTATTAAATATACCATTCACAAATTATTGTGTGAATCGACTCTAAGGTATAAACGGGTTTTATATTTTTATAACAAAAATATATACTATGAAATGTTCGTTTTAATTTTAAAATAGTTAATTTCAATTTAAAATTTCGTTGAAAAGATATAATTGTCTAAAAAGTCATATTGTGTAACAATAATATTTACTAATGCGAATCTTGTTAATCCAATTTCGTAAATTACACTAAAAAGTGCACTTTATGTTTTATATTTTTATTTTTTATTGGATCACTCGACATTTTGATTGTGGCTTAAATGTTACTCAAACAGCGTTTATTTGGACAGCCCAACGTCAACCTCATTCTTAAGCTTCAAGTTTTTTTTTTTCCCGGAAACTACATAAAATTTTATAGATCAAAACACACATATGTGCAAATTACAACTTAGAGCCGCAGCTAAAAGCTGAATAAACCGAGAGGACTGGTCCAATTAGCTTCACGTTTTTTTAATTAAAACACATCTGAAGTTTAGAGCTATTAATTAATTAATAATAGACTGCTGAAAAATAATAATAGAGAAAAGAAACACCTAATGACACTCGATTTTGTATTTATTTTTTTCAAATTTCTCTTAAAAACATTTTATACATATGATGTAAAATAGAACACCTGTGGATCCTATTCGACTCGATTCCGGATTAGTCGGTTCTCCTGTGGATCCGGAAACCGGAAGGTCCCTGTACCAAAAAAAAAAATCAATAGTTCATATATATAATTAATTTATAATTTTTTTCTATATGTTCAATCATATTTATAACTACCAATAACTAATAGTCCACGTTATATGTCATTTCACGTTACGGGCAAATGCTAAGGTCCCGTTACGAAACTATACCGTCGAGATTTGTAACATTCATGTAACTTTTTTTCTACTCTCCTTTTTAACCAACAATGTTTTTTTTCACGAGGAAAACGTATCTAATTCCACACTAAGTAAACTCATTACAACACTAATTAATAACGCACACACCACATAAATGTTGAAGAAATAAAATAAATAAAAATAAAATAGACAAACGACATTCTCAAGCCGTTACAAGTAATAACCAACGGCCGGTCCACCCACAGAGTTTGTTGGCGAACCATCCATTAAGCTCAGCGTACAACAAGCCGACAGCTGTACCCGTAGCCTGACAGTGGTGCACTGCACCATGCACCGCCCACTAAGACGCGTAGAATATAAAAAACACCCAAACACACACACGACTTCACGTCGTTAAAACTCAAAAGGGCATTTCCGGCAATTTACTTCTCCAGTTGACGAAGGGTACATCTGTCATTTCATATGGGCTCCCGGGGGGTAGAATTGGGTCCGAATGGAACTATAAAAGGACCTGCCCGCTTTCTCTGCTTCTATGTGTTTTCGTTTCTATTTTTCATATACATAAATTTTCACTTCAAATCTCTCTCTCTCTCTACACGGATCGCGTGACGCTGAGGTAATTTTTTCTGTTTTACTATGAAACATGGAGATTTGATTGTGTTTATGTGTTTAATCGATCGCATTCAGCACACACATGAATGAATAAGTGTGTGTGTGTGTGTGTGTGTCGGTCGAGGTGGATTTGTGTCTGTTAATTTGTCCCTATGTAATTTTATGGAGATTGAAGATCGGTTCATCCATTTGTGGTTAATTTTTTGTTTGAATCGTTTTGCTTGTGCCTGATCTGGATCGAGTTGTTGGCGATGGCGTGATTTTGGTTTTGTAACGGTTTGATCTGTCGCATTTGTGTGAATTTTAGGAGGTGATGGATCAAATGCTTCTGTTCTGTTAGATCCGTAGAAAATTTTTGGTTTTTTGATTGATTCGAGTTTTAGCCGAATCTTGTATGATTAGCTGGTGTACAGATCATTACATGCAGCTGGGATTTGTCAAATGTGTTGGATCTGACACGGTTGCCGCAGTTTTTAGTGATTTCATTGATAAAATCCTGCAGGACTTCTTTGGAATATTTGATTTCTTCGTTTCGAAAAGCATTTTTGATCATCCAAAGACGTGGGAGTTTTGTTTTTCCTATCCACAATTTGGATCTGATATCACATTGTTATGTATTTTGGAGCTAGGGAGTTTCATGTATCTGAAAGTTTGTAACTGCATTATGAATTAATTGGATTTATAGACCAGGAAACTAATGAGGTTCCCAGGTTGATATGGAATTCCAACCAGCTTTTCAGGTGCTTCTGATCTGTGTCTTTTAAAGTTCTCTTATTTGAATTTGTACTCATGTAACACAGTAACATAAATGCTGCTAAATTATACCTTATTAGGCTTTCATGTGTACTGCAGATCAAGATTTCTGTTTTCCATGCCTTACATCCTGCCACAAATATAATTCGACGAGTTTAAAAAACTTTCATTATCTTTTTTTTTTCCTAGGTAAACTGAAAAAAAAAACATGGTGAAGATTTGCTGTATTGGCGCGGGGTATGTTGGTGGCCCCACCATGGCCGTGATAGCTCTCAAGTGCCCTTCGATTGAGGTGGCTGTTGTCGACATTTCAGTCCCCCGCATCAGCGCCTGGAACAGCGACCAACTCCCGATCTACGAGCCGGGCCTTGACGATGTGGTCAAGCAGTGCCGTGGCAAGAACCTCTTCTTCAGCACGGATGTTGAAAAGCACGTGTCAGAGGCTGACATCGTCTTTGTCTCGGTCAACACTCCCACCAAGACCCGAGGCCTCGGGGCCGGCAAAGCCGCTGACCTAACCTACTGGGAAAGCGCGGCCCGAATGATTGCTGACGTGTCCAAGTCCGACAAGATTGTGGTCGAGAAGTCAACTGTCCCTGTCAAAACTGCCGAGGCCATCGAGAAAATCCTCACCCATAACAGTAAAGGCATTAACTACCAAATCCTCTCGAACCCAGAGTTTCTTGCCGAGGGGACTGCCATCCAAGATCTCTTCAACCCGGACAGGGTTCTCATTGGCGGCCGCGAAACTCCTGAAGGCTTCAAGGCAGTTCAAGCTTTGAAAGCTGTCTATGCTCACTGGGTCCCGGAGGATCGTATCCTCACCACAAACCTATGGTCCGCGGAGCTTTCGAAACTCGCTGCTAACGCCTTCTTGGCCCAGAGGATCTCGTCCGTCAATGCCATGTCAGCACTCTGTGAGGCGACTGGCGCTGATGTCACGCAGGTGTCGTACGCCGTCGGGAAAGACTCGAGGATCGGGCCAAAGTTCTTGAATGCGAGTGTCGGGTTTGGTGGGTCGTGCTTCCAGAAGGATATCCTCAATCTTGTATACATTTGCGAGTGTAACGGCCTTCCTGAGGTGGCTGAGTACTGGAAACAGGTCATCAAGATCAATGACTACCAAAAGAACCGTTTTGTCAACCGCCTTGTCTCGTCTATGTTCAACACGGTTGCCAATAAGAAGGTCGCGATTTTAGGTTTTGCTTTCAAGAAAGACACGGGAGACACTCGCGAGACCCCTGCAATTGACGTGTGCAAGGGGCTTCTTGGGGATAAAGCCCAGCTCAGCATTTACGATCCGCAAGTAACGGAGGATCAGATCCAGAGGGATCTCTCGATGAACAAGTTCGACTGGGACCACCCTCTCCACCTCCAGCCTATGAGCCCGTCTACTGTTAAGAAAGTTCATACCGTTTGGGATGCGTATGAGGCTACTAAGGATGCACATGCTGTGTGCATTCTCACGGAGTGGGACGAGTTCAAGGAGCTCGATTTCCAGAAGATATATGACAATATGCAGAAACCGGCTTTCGTTTTCGACGGGAGGAATGTAGTTGATGTGGCCAAGCTGAGGGAGATTGGGTTTATAGTGTACTCGATTGGGAAGCCGCTTGATGCTTGGCTCAAGGACATGCCAGCTGTCGCCTGAGTGAGGTTTGCGGCCGGCGAGGAAATAATAAAGGTTTATTGATTTCATTTATGATGTGGTATACTTGTTTTTTTTTCTTCTTCTTTTTGGTTTTCGTTTGATGGGATTCAGATGAGTCTTCTTCAAAATTATTGGTTTATTTGCGTCTGTAGTCGGATGAATTTCTATTTGTGTCGTTATGTAGAAGTTCTTCGTACTTTACTTTTTACAATGTGATGTCGACTTTACGTTTTTGTCTAATTTTGAATCTTCAGGGCCTCATTCGTTTCTTTCTGTTTCCAGTCTTGTTTTTTGTTGTGCTGTGTATGTTTGTCTCGGTTGTTCTTTCATGTTTCATATTAGTTATTGTTACGAGATCACCAAACTCAAACATTGGGCAGACTAAATTATTCAATGCATTAGTAATTATTGTGTAAAACACTCTCAGCCGTTGGCGTGGCTCTCATTGTCTAGTTATAAAAAATAACGTTACATTTGGACGATGACAAGTTCAAAACACACGAACTGTAAAAAAAATACTGAATCACACACCACAAGAAAACCGAACCAAAATCAAACCAATAATTCGTTACACTAAAGTAAACCTCATCGAATTGTACGATTTGGGTCGATTATTCAATCAAACGACTTTTCAATTTTGATTGGGCTTTTGATCATTCCTAGTCAGCAACATACCAAATCCATATTATTGCCAAAATCAATTTATTGATTCGATCAATTGAGAATCAAGGAATTGCTGTCGCATTTGCAGACTAAACAGAACTCATTTGCTTCTGCAAATGTATTGCTTGTCTACTCATGGCCATGCTTTTGCTTCCATGCAAGTCTTTCCTCTTCTACCCATTTTAAATTTTTAATTCAATACTAGCCTGTATCTAGATTCAAATGTGTGTGTGTGTGTGTGTGTGAGAGAGAGAGAGAGAGAGAGAGAGAGAGAGAGAGAGAGAGGGAGAGAGAGAGAGAGGGAGAGAGTGCCTTCCTTTTTCTGCTTATATTTTTCTTTTGGGCCAACTCTGTGTTGCTGCTGCAAAACACCCTTTATATTCTAGCATTTTTCTCAGAGTTTGAGATGGTTCTCTCTTTTTTCCCCTCAGAATTTGATTTTGCTTGTTACAGATTCATTTTATATCATTCAAGAAAGCTCGAATTTTTTCTGATTAGACTCTAAAAGTAATCGCTTAGTTTTTCTTTCAATGTGATGCTAGATTAGTCGTAGCAAGGCCGATCACTGAGCTTCATTGAATTTTATCATCCGGGGTTCATTTTCTCTTTTTATTCTTTTCTCGTATCTTTAATCAGAGAAAATCTCTCTTGCAATGGGTGAAGTTCAAGAACAGAGATACGTTTGCAAAATATGCAGCAAAATTTGCACCAGTGGGAACTGGGAAATCAGTTGGACAGGCACATGAGGCACACCATTTGTCTCTAATCACAGCTTCTGAAAAAGCAGCTAAATCGAGAGCCGATAACTTGGATTCTGAAAAGTGCTGGTGATCTAGAATCTCTTAAGCTCGAAAATGGCTCAAAAAATCCAACCGAAACCGCTTTTTCTGAAAATGCCCTATATCCTTTGAATGAAGAAAACTGCAAAACTGAATTTAGTACAGAAAACAAGAATGAAGAAGGGATAGTATAATGTCGGATTTTCGAATGCATATGAGG